GGTGCAATTTTATGTAAATAGTAAATATTTTAACCAACTCCATCATGACATTTTAAAATGATAAACTTATTCAATCTCAAGTATTTTTTTAGTGAAATCAAAATGTATTGAGGTCTGAGGAGTTCTCAAAAATAGAACAGAAGTCACATACAGTATAACCTGAAATTGATCCTTTCTAATCTCAGTTTAGTAAGGCTTTCTTCTGATTATTCTCCATAAATATTCAGTAATTCTACAAATTTCCCTTTAGAATCCTGCATCAGAACGTATTACAGTAAAATCAAAGATTAAATGTTTTGTTGACGACCAAGTTTTAGTGATTTTTTGCAGTTTATCTGAGCCCTGATAGCTGAAAYCAGACAGGCAGTGATGCTCCTTGAGCTGTTTTATTCAGACGCATTTACTCTGGTCTCTTTTCATTGATTCATCTCACCCAAGATGTTCAATTTTAAAAGAAAAAATGTTCTTGTTGCAGCGCTTAAACACCCCCTTTATTTTTCCTTTCTTGTCTCTTCCTCCTGAAAAGATAAGAAACACTTGACTTCATTAGAATATTAATTTCTTATTACAGGCGTAACACTCCACAGCCCTCTGTGTGTGAGTTTTAGGGTAAGGGAGGTACTTCCTGTTAGGTTAATTTTAGGGTAAATGGTCAGGGTTAGAATATAAAATTTCCAAAAAATGAATGGAAGTCAATGCGCGGTTCCTACGGGCATATACAAACCAGACCAGTGTGTGTGTATGTGTGTGTAAAAACTCTCCATGTTATCATGTTTCATCAGGTTTTATTGAAATATTCTGTAAAAACACACCYGTCATTTTCAGTCTCAGTTATTCTGTCGTCTTTGGACAAAGTTTTTTTCTCCGGTTGAGTTTCTTTCATTTCTGCAGATGTTGCTGAATTCATCTGTGATTGCAGCGGCGGTTGTTTCCGTCTTACATAAGAGCCTGCAGATGAGCATTTTGATTAATGCATTTAACTCTGAGCCCAGATTGCACAGAGAGGATGGATTTTCACGTAAACTGCTGGATTAGGGAATGACTGGCAAAGAAAAAGGAGGGAAATGATCAGAATAGAAAGTTGATGCAAAGCTGACTGTGAAATATGAAGGTTTACCTCAGTTTGCAATGGAAGTGATGGAGCAGATAGGTCCTAATAGGAGTCTTATATAAAATGTATTTTATGTAAATAAGAGGAAAGATTCCAGTTTATCCTCAGGAGCTCAGTCAGCTGCTGTGTTGGGGTTTAGTTTACACAAAAACTACAATTTCATAATAATTCCTTTGTCATCTTGTTTATTGAGGATACAGGCAGTGACAATGATGTTACATTTGAGACTTCAGAGCTCCTCCATCACCTGTCAAGCCTCCTTATTCCACCTGACAGCCATAAATCTGCACTCTGTGCTCCCTGAGCCACAGTGGAAGTTGTTGTTGTGGCAGCTGGTTGTTTTTGTTGCTTTAGGGGCTCGTAAGAAACAACCCAGGCAGCCGTGTTTCAGTGACTGCTGGTGCTCATTGTTGTTTAAAGTGAAATATCTCTGCAGCCGTCAGATTTGGAACCTTGCCTGAAGCTGAGGCGGCACGACAGAACCCTTTTTTTTAATTCCTACACACAGAGTGTCAGAAACAGCAGAGCTGTGAGCTCCAAGATGGGCTGCAGTTTGTAAAGTTATACAGTCAAAAATTACCACCAATATTTTTGCTTTATTTAGCCT